TTCCTTCCTTCCTTCCTTCCTTCCTTCCTCTCTCTCTCTCTCTTTCCTTCTTTCTTTCCTTTTTCTTCCTTCCCTTCCCAATTTCCCTCCCTCCCTCCCTCTAAACCCAAGTTAATAAACCACAGTTGCCCTGATCATATAATAGATGAGGCCTTTTAGCTTCAAATGCAGCCCTGTGGCTGGATTCTCACAGCATGCCGGACCATTGATGACCCAACCCTAATTTAACCACATCTGTTGCATGAATTCAGCAACTTGGTCTCCAGATTCTTCCCATCATCGCTCAGCAGGATTATGCAACCCGCTTAGAAGTCAAGTTGCTGAGTTTAATGGAACGATTCAGTCCGAGCTTTCCATTTATTTTGGTTGAAAATCTGTGGGACCTTAAGGGGGCCTGAACGTGGAAGGGGGAACTTGGAGTTAAATTTGTGAACGACGTCTCCTTAAGCCAGCATGGGGGCCCAGGGGTGTCAGCAGGGGATGTCAAAATAGTCCAGAAGCAACCATGATGGCCTGATTGAAGATGGAAACTTTTTTTCCATATGCAATAAAATTCTTGTGCAAATGATTGAACTTCCATCAACAGCTTCCACCAGATGTGTACCTAACCCATTATGAGTGGAACGATCCACGATGGGTCATTCATTCATACAGTATGTCATCCTCTAAACCAGCATGGCTGGCTGGGGAATTCTGGGAGTTGAAGTCCACACATCTTCAAGGGGCCAAGGTTGAGAAACACTGCCCTAAACCATGATTTACATAGCCTAGCCGCTGAGCTTGCTAGCATGAAACTGAGCGGACTGAGCAATATTTAGATTTGGGTTCAAGCCATGGCTTAGCATTTCAGGAGACCCCATCCATAAATGTCTGGTTTGAAGCCAGTGCACACATTTGGCTGGCCAATACCTAATGGGGGGTTTATGTAACCAGGAATAGAAAAGACTGCTAACACGTAAGTGATGGAACAAATAAAGCAAAGAACCAATTTATTGTTCTTCATAACACTTACAAACTCTTTCTTTTGTTTAATAAGCATGCAGGTGAACGAAACATTGAATGACAGAAAAGCGAGGCGAGATCTGGGAACGGTCAACCGCACGCAGGCTGAAGAACCAACGTGGCTGATCTGAAGAAGTTAGTCTGGAAAGAGCAGGAAGCCGGAGAAGACGCTGTCCGCCCCGGCCACCCCAACCATGCCGTTGTAGTCGTTGACCGCCAGCCAGACCTGGTGGCCCTTTTGCAGCTGGAGCAAGACCCCCCCAGAAGTGACTTGCTTGGGGTTGGAGAGGTGGTCGCAGAAGCTGGCCACCTTCTCCCGGTTCAGATACATGTTGACGCAGAGGTTGGCCGTCAAGGAGGTGTGGAAGGTGAAGTAGTAGACCCCAGGAACGCGGCAGGTGAACTTGCCCGTGGTGGTGTCGTAGTCGTGGTAGGTGTTGGTGATGTTTCCGCGAAAGACAACTGGGGTGTTCTTCGTGGGGTGCTCGTGCGTCTGACGCTTGACCGAGAAGGCTGATTGGAACATGTGCTTGAAGCCACCGGGGTCTCCTGGCTCACCGACCTCCCCTTTGGGACCAATGTCTCCTACACTTCCTGAAACTCCTCTAGGTCCACTTTTCCCCGGCAGACCAGCCAGTCCAGGAAGACCTGCCTCTCCCTTGGGACCATGGCTTCCAGGAATGGCTGGAGGACCTAGACGTGAAAGACCACACACGTTAGAAGCAGGAGAGCATCACCCAGGTAGGACTAACTCAGAAAGACAGGGGTAGGCAGAACAATGTTTCTCAACCTTGGCAACTTCCAGGTACGTGGACTTCAACTCCCAGAATTCTCAGCAATGGACATGCTGGCTGCAGAATTCTGGGATCTGAAGTCCATACACCTGGAAATTGCCAGGGTTGGGGAACGCTGGGTTAAAAGGTGGAACTAGAAATGGAGACCACCAAGTTCAGGTCTCCTAGACTGTCGGGGGGGAGGCACAGTCCCTCTGCTCAACCTACCTAGCAGGGTTGTGGTGATGTTTTTAAAAAGGAGAGCTTTTACTGGAAGCATGACCAACTCAATTGTGGAGCATGCCTTGATGCCCAGAATATTTTAAATCCGACAAAGAATTTAATTCTAATTCGAAATCATTCTTGGATTGAAGTGGTATACATGGAATCATACCAGATCCAAAATCTGAGTACAGTTGATATTATAATTTGATGTATAACTTCCAGTACTGACTTATCATGTACTTCTTACTAATGTTTTATGACTATTCATGTTGCTACCATGATAAATGGTATGACTGGTCTCCTTTTACTGGTTTGATTTGTAAAATTAATAATCAATTACTCTACTACTAGTATTAATTTACTCTTACTAGCAGTAAAACAGCAGTAAAAGGCTACTATTAATTGTCATTTTACTATTTGGCAAAGAGTAATTTACCATTCATTCTACAGATCAAATCAGTAAAAGGAGCCCAATCATACTATTCATCGCGGTAGCGATAGTCATAAAGCATTAGAGTAAATCTAAAAAAACATTTACTGAAAAGAGTAACGGTCAAAGGCAACGATTAATTGTCACTTGACTATTTATCGTCGCACCGTTAATTAATGGCAAAGAGTGATCTGCCATTCATGCTACGAATAAAATCAGTAAAAGGAGCCAAACCATACAATTCGTTGAGGTAGTAAATGAATAGTCATGACAAAGTTGCCGAAAGGGCCATTCAGATGTGCAGTAGACCTTTGGCTTTCAGCAGCAAACAAACCGGCAGACTGTTCAAATGGGGAAGGGGTGTCCAGGAGCTACTAACCTGGTTCTCCTTTGGATCCCTTTTGACCATCCCGACCATCTTTGCCTGGAGGACCTGGGACTCCGGGGAGACCCGGGGCCCCGTAGCAGTATTTTGGAGGCTCATTTGCCAAGGAGAGATCTTCCAGGATCAAGAAGATGAAGGTCCAAACCAACATCCTCACCAATGTTGAGTCCATCTGCCGTCCGTCCTGCAGAGAGATAGAATAAAGCAGTGTTTCTCAACCTTCTCAACTTCAAGATGGGTGGACTTCAACCCCCAGATTTCCCCAGGGAATTCTTGAAGTTGAGAAGGTTGAGAAACACTGGAATAAAGGAAAGGTTACTGGGGACACCATGAAGCAGAGCTGCTGGGCGGGAACTTTCTAAGAATTCCACAATGGTGGAAGAAGTGACAGAAACGCTGCCTACGCGGGGCTCACCCAGCCATCTCGGCAACATTCGTGGGTTCAGCTACCCACAAGCCGTATATCGATTCTTCAAAAGCACCGAGGGTCTGGCAGTCACTCCCCCCTGAGCCCAACATTTAAAAGAAGAGCAGGAGATGCAAAGTTAAAAATTCAATTTATTCTTGGATATCGTGGGAAAGGAAGAGAGAGAGAGAGGGAGAGATGCCTAGTAAGAATTGGGAAGGGAAGGGAAGGGAAGGGAAGGGAAGGGAAGGGAAGGGAAGGGAAGGGACACTGGCAATCAATTCACTGGGAAAAAAAAGTTGGGGGGAGAAGGGAGCTGAAATGCTATAGTGCTTCTAAACACCTCCGAGTCTTTAAACTCTCCGGGAGGAACCATGGTGTTCAACATCCTCCAAAAAGGTCCCTCCAGCTTGCTCCTAAAGCCCACCTCCAGATGCAGGACGGGCCCTTTCCCAGCCCTTCCGGGCGATGCCAGAGCTGAACTGGGCAACTTTCTGCAGCAAAGCCGCGGCTGTTTTCCCCCAAGAAAAGCCGCCGGGCTGAATCCCGCCCCTCTGGCCCTGGTTTCTCTTTGCATCTGGTCAGCACCGAGTCACCTTAACAGCTCAACCCTCCTTCTGCTCCCACGAAACCGAACCAGCCCAGCCGATTTTTTCCTTGCTCCTCTGTGCCTGGAGCATTTAAATGTACCCGTTGAGATCCACCTATCCTTTTGGGAATTTTCCTTCTCCCTCCACAATCCCTTTCCTTTCGACTAGCAACCTGATTTTCGTGCCCCAGACCCATCCATCTGCCTTACAGGAGCCGAAGACTGTGGGTGACAAATGCTTTTTGTCGAGAATAAATCATCTTCCCCGAGGATCTGCCATTCCCCATCTCCCAAACGGGCTTCCCCAGGTTTGGGGGGATCCAAACGCCATGCCTGCCCCAAAGCAAAGGATTTATTTCCTGAACGTTTGAAGACAGAAAATCCTGCGTGGGGTCTCTTACCTTTCGGGGAATCAGTGGGGTCCTGGCAGCTCTCAGGCCACGGGGGTTAATGCGCGCAGGCCGACTCAGTTACAGGCAGGAGGATCTGCTTGCAACATCGTCCCCAACTTAATGGGGAAGTTGGTGGCCCAGGAGAATAAGGAACTGGTCCACCCCGTTTTGCGCTTTCTCGGTTGCATCTGAAAGTTCAGCATCAACACTTTTATTGCTTTGGTTTCTGTCACCAGGAATTTTCATTTTTTCCTCCCCAGAGGGATAAACAAGGACAGGAGCATCCTGAGCTGAAAATCTCAGCGCAGCAATGAAACTCACCAAGTGGCCTACCTCCTAGGATCGTTGTGGAGATCAAAGGGGGGTGGCAGAGAGCCTCCTGGCCCCCTGAGGAGGAACGGTCTGCTATCAAGAGAATTAAAGCAACCGATAAGATGGCAAATGGGCCCTTCTAGCTCAGAACGGATTGCGAGGGACTGAAAGGAGGGTTGAGTTCAGTGGTGGTTTAGGGAGTCTTCCCACGTTGTCTCCAACTCCCGGGTCTGACTCGGGGTTGCAAAGGGAGAGCAAATAAGGTTGGTGGCCCAGCTTGGCAAAATGGTGACTTCCCCACCCTTCTGCACGCTGCTGTTCCTTATCTCGAATCACAGACACCCCAAATGTTTTCAGAGCAAGACGTTTGGCTTCTGAAGGTGGAGAAAAAAACTTGGGTTCAGTTTTTTTTTTAAAGGGGAGATGAGGTTAGGAAGCCCTTCTTAATTGCACAAACGCTTAGATGGTGGAACGGACAGTCTCATTAAAAATTTCGAAGCAGAGCCAGGGGTGAGACTAGATGCTCTCTGGAGACTCCCTGTGCTTCCACGAAACCACCGAAAGTCGGGCTGGGGTTTCATTTTGAAAAGGCTTATTTTCAACCGGGGCAATTTGGATACAAGAGCATTTTACACACTGGCTGAGTAACAATGAATGAATAAAAGATGGAGTAGCGTGCTGTTTTTTTAAAGAAATAAAACGCAAGGGCGAATCTTTCCTTTCATTCCCGGTTTGCGTGTTGGAAATCGGTGGGTCGGGCGCCTCAAAACGCATTTAATGTAATATGCTGAGCCTGGACGGCCCTCATTTCTCGTCCCCGATGCTCTGCAAACCCCGGTGTGATGGTGCAAGATGACACAGAAGCTGCTGGGAAGATTTTCAGCGGCAGGAGAAAAATAAAACCAGGCTTCAAAACTTAGGAAGAAGACAAAGAGAAGCAGCCCCCTCAAATTGTTCGAAAAAAGTCTCTCCTAGAAGTGGAGAAATCAGATCTGGGCTGCAATTTTCTGGATGGCCACGTGATCAATGGGTTTTGTGCCATCAAGTTGCTGTTGACTGTTAGTGACCACATAGATTGATGTTCTCCATGACAATATGACCCCAACCTGGTCTTTGGGGTCTTCAACGGCGCCCTAGCATCACTGTAACTGAGTCCCTCCAGCTTACTGTTGGTCCTCTTCTCTTTCCTTCCACCTTTCCCAGCGTTAAAGCCTTCTCAAAAGAGTGCCTCTGAGCATGCCATGAGTGTTCTGGTCTACTTGGACTCTGGTACCACTGAGCCCAAGATAGGCCATTGCCATAGGAGGAAAGGAGGTGTAAACACCTTGGGGTGTCTACTTTCAGTCTTTCCTGGGCTTGCTCTCCAAGGAAATTTGGGGGGTGAGAGCCAATCAGATTTTAACCCAGACCTGGCCTGTGAGTTATAAGCACATTGCCAGGCAGGATCATCCTGCATATCCTAAAAATGCAACTTCAAAAATGAGTTTGCTGGGAAGCATGCAGACCTCTCAGTTAATGAACGTAGACTTTGGAACACCTGCAAGGAAGAGAGTTTGGGGACGGTGAAGTTGCTCCTGAGCAATATTTTCAAGGGGCTCAGCTCCCCAAGGAACGACAGTGGTTTATTTGAAGACTGTCTTTTAAAAAGATGTCCAGCCTAAGTTCAATGGAGTTGTTTTCTTCATTGTGTAAAAGAAAAGGAGCATCATGGGAGACAGGTTACAAGGTCAGGTCAGCCGAGAAGCTAACCATAGATCTCTGGCTTTCTGGCATTCCTACCTCACAAGGTCATTGTAAGGGGAAAGTAGAAGGAAGAGAGTGATGATTTTACCAGAAAAGGTCCTAGCAGAAAGAGAAAAAAAAAGGGAAAGGAAAGGAAAGGAAAGGAAAGGAAAGGAAAGGAAAGGAAAGGAAAGGAAAGGAAAGGAAAGGAAAGG